GCGCAAATGAAATGCAAAGTGATTGTTTAGCAAAATGTTCTATTGTAACTGTAAATTTATCAAGGAACATCCTTCACAGTTCTACTCTAAACAAAAATACATACATGTTTCTAATTGGGCCTTTGTGACTGGGGATGCTGTTGGTGCTAGAGAGACTGCTGGTGCTGGGGAGACTGTTGGTGCTGACCAGGCTGCTGCTGGAGAGACTGCTGGTTCTGGGGAGACTGGTGCTGGAGAGACTGCTGGTTCTGAGGTGACTGGTGCTGGAGAGACTGCTGGTTCTGGGGAGACTGGTTCTGGAGAGACTGTTGGTGCTGACCAGGCTGCTGCTGGAGAGACTGCTGGTTCTGGGGAGACTGGTGCTGGAGAGACTGCTGGTTCTGGGGAGACTGGTTCTGGAGAGACTGCTGGTTCTGAGGAGACTGATGCTGGAGAGACTGCTGGTTCTGGAGAGACTGCTGGTTCTGAGGAGACTGATGCTGGAGAGACTGCTGGTTCTAAGGAGACTGGTGCTGGGGAGGCTGCTGCTGGAGAGGCTATTGGTGCTGGGAAGGTTGCTGGTTCTGGGGAGATTGTTGGTGCTGGGGTGACTGGTATTGAAAGTTTATGTGGAACACGAGGGACCTTCTCTTGTACTATTTTTAAATGGTCCACACTAACTTTATTAAAAACAGCACCATTCTCTCCCAAAAGGTCAGCACTCTTGCCCTCAATTTGGGTGATTAGAAAGGGGCCAAGGAAGTTGGGCTCTAGCTTCCCTCCCTTTCTCTGCTGGCTCCTCACATTCTGTCTCCACACCTTATCCCCTACTTTAAAGTCAGGCTTTGGAATTCCTGACTTCAGCCTTCTTTTTGAACCTTCCTGCACCTTCCTAACATTCTCCTGGATTATGTGTTTAAGTTCATCCAGCCGTTTGATGTCCTCTGACACCATCTCCTCTCCAACAACCTCCTCAACACTGTTGTCTGCCTGTAAGCAAATAATTTCTATCGTCACCTCCTATTAAGTCATTTTATTGACTATTTTGACAATTTCATAATTAAAGATATTATCATACATCCTTAAACAAAGCACTTAACTGTGAATTGCCACCTTGTAAGGAAATAATTCTGTGATCAGAGTTGAGCCATTAAAATGTATTAGAATTGGTCACTCAGTACTCCTGGATTTCTACTATACTGCAGTATTTCAGCTTTACTGCACACATAAACAAGGTGTGATTACAAGGAAAATATCAGTAAAATAAAGACCAGTGATTGTTGTGTTTTTTTTTTTTTTTTTTACTTATCCAAGCACTAACAAAATTGATATGAGTGTGAAACATTCTGACGTACCTGGTAGTGCTCTGGGACCTCAGAGGGGTACCGGGCCTCCCTTCCAAACATGAGGTAAAATGGGGAGTATTTGGTTGTCAG